AGAAATCTATTGCACCACCTACTTGACCCAACTAAACGTAAATTTAAATATTATATGTTAAAATCATGCACTATTTCATAATATTGAAAATATTTGGGCGCCCACACCCTTTTCAATTTAATGAGCGCTAGCAATCAAATTTTTTTTCTATGTGGGAATGAAGTTCATAATAGACTAATAGTGCACTCACATTGAACGAAGTTTCACAAAAACATGAGCATTTACATGCACACCACCCAATTCCTCTGTATTTACACATACAACACCTAAACTCTATATGAAAAAAAATAGTAGTATTTTTAATGTGATGCGGATGCATAAGAATTGAGTGGTATGTAAATATCTGTATTTTTATTCTTATTTTTGCATTTTATTAATTATTTAGTTTTGTTTTCTCTAAATTCTTGTTTGTTAAAACCTCTTATATATATGTAATAAGTTTTTTACACCCTAAAAAAAGAGGTTGGTTTTGTCCCCGCGTGTCCTTCAAAGCTGGCGAGCGATCTTGATCCGAACCAAGTGAGCATGCATGACTCACACATAAAGAAAGATGGAGCCACTTGTAGGAGGGCCAAAGTAAGCGAACATCACATGGTGTTTGGGATGGGAGAAACCTCGAGATTGTGAAAGACAATCGAGCATACTGAATGACACGTGTGGGGGACGAGCTTCAACTACAAACTGAGAAAAAATAAATGGCAGAAGGTCAGGGTTATTTAATTTAATACATAGCTATTTTGATTTAAATTTTGCCAATTTTTAATATTAGATTTTCATTGAATAATGTCAAAATTCGATAGTTTCAAAGTATTCGAATCAGTAGGTTGAAAGGAATCGTTGAGTTTATTAGCAAAAAAAAGAGCAATCTAGATAATATTTTTAACTCTTTTATTTTGTATAAATACTTAGTTTTAAAAAACATATATTTGAGAATTTTGATTTAAAAAATAATAATAGATTGATAAAGATGATTAGAGAATTGATCACATGAAGTTGATGTCCAGGACTTTAAAAAATGAATAAGGTATGTGAGATATGCAACTTAACCATAAACACTATGATTTGATGGATTTAAATAAAGATTGTCTTTAAATTATATAATTAACTTATTGATATTGAGTTTGAAATTTAATAAGTTTAAAGAAATTATTCAATAAATTATTTGTGTGATTATATACTACGTTAAAGGAAGTGATCATTGAAGATTAAACAACAAATTAAATTAATTAAAAATCAAGGTGAGTAATTACATTTTCACTTGTACTAAATATAATTATCTTAAGTTTAAAAATATTTTTAAATCAATTAAAATCATATTAGACATTTTCAAATTATTGTAGGCATTAAAAAAAAAATTTATTGAACATTCAAATTTACTATAATCATATAAACAATGTAATATTTTTTTAATAATGTTCATACATTGAATTTATACTGAAAAGATTAATGTATATTTTAATTAATTAAAACAAGTAAAAAAAAATAAATTAATTAAATGTATAATTCAATCATCAAAGCCACCCATTTATAGTACTATTTGGTAACACTATGATACTAATGCACCAAAATAAAATGAAAAAGGAAAATAAAAATATTGTACCTTAAGTGATATAAAATTTTAGATTGTGTTCTTGAGATTACTTCCTGAAAGAAATGAAATTGAAAACATTTAAAATATTCTAATTTAAAAAAGTGGAAATGTTTAAAAGGTTTAATAAAATGTAATAATAACGTTTAATCATTATTATTTTTTTGCATTTGTGTTACAACATTTGATAGAACTGTAATTCATTATGATGTTATCTAACTTATTGTTTAACTACTTATTTCAATAAAAAATGATTTGAATTAAAATGATAGACAAGAGAGTAGTTTTATAGAAGAAAATGAACAAATGAAAATATTTATTAAACTTTAGTTTTTTTTTATAACTTATATTATTACAAACTAAATATTCTTACATGTATGAATGATGTATATGAAATCTTGTGGTTTAGTGACTCTCTAGTGTTTTGATGTTATCCTGGATTATTATATATCATAAAATTTTGTATCTCTATCGTTCGACCGTCTGTTTTAGCCTTGAAAATGTCAAACTCTCAGGCTAGGTTGTGACATCTACTAGATTGTTTGGTGTACCGTCATTACAGGAGCAAAGTTTTTAGTAATGGTATTTCATTTGATGCTTGAGTTTACTTGTTCTTTATGCTTAGACTTATATTGGGTATGAATAGTCTTTGTTTATATAGTTATTTCTCTCATTTATTTTTACTAGTCATTATTTTCTTTGTTGAACTTTTTTATATAGTATGTTTTTTAATAAAATATGTATTTTCTTATGTTTATTTTTACATGCTATGCTTATAATTATTTCTATATTAAACTTTATCATTCTGAGTATCAAAAATGCGCAATTGGTCTTAAATTTTGAAGTTATCCCATGACTCAGGTACAATTCTTTCATCTTGTCTTGTGTTGCGTATTGCCCCTCAGAACTAGGATGCGATCATGTCGCCTTAATTACAGTGGCGCGCACATGTTCACTTGGGTTCTGTAGGTTTGCACATGGTCCATCTCAGTGTATTGCACATGGGTAAACTTTGGTCCATGCCATCTATATTCCTGATTTTCAATTTTTAGCCAATGTTTAAAGTGGTTCAACTTTAAACATTGTGTTGCGTATTGTGTACCTTTATATATTAACCTTTACCATCCTGAGTATAAAAAATGCGCAATTGGTCTTAAATTTTGAAGTTATCCCATGACTCAGGTACAACTCTTTCATCTTGTCTTGTGTTGCGTATTGCCCCTCAGAACTAGGATGCGATCATGTCGCCTCAATTATAGTGGCGAGCACATGTTCACTTGGGTTCTGTAGGTTTGCACATGGGTAAACTTTGGCCCATGCCATCTATAATCCTGATTTTCAATTTTGAGCCAATGTTTAAAGTGGTTCAATTTTTCTTCATTTAGGCAATTTTTTTAAAGCTCTTTAAAGCTTGAGTAGAGATTTTTGTTTTGTGATTTACACTAGCAGTGTTTTTTTTCCGACCCCACGTAGTGGGATTAAAGTTTTGTCGTTGTTGTTTCAAGCTCTACTTCTTTCTTTATCCACAAACATAGCCTTTATTACATCTACCATCAATGAGATTCAAGGTACGTTGCACATGGTTGCCATTGGATGCTCTTTTATTCTATTCCTTTGTTTTTTCTTATCTCTGACGCTAACAAAATTGAAAGAAGATGAGGACTATTTTGAAACATTCTGTTCACAATCCCAAATGGAAATACGGATTGATGTTTGGAGAGTGATTGTAATCAAATTACTCAAAATCAAACCCATGCCACTTCTGCTTGTGAACATTTCTCTTGTTGGGTAGTTGCATATGCTTTACGTCTTAGTGCTTGGTCACCATAGATTTCTGGCAACTCAAATAGTGACCATTCTTCTTTCCATTTTTGGTTAATGGGCAAGCTCTTTATCTTATTGCACCATATAGTAGCATTTGCTCACCCATAAGCAGAAGTTTTTTATGACATTCCATAGTAAAAATATTAAATTCTTCTTTGATTTAATATTAAATTTTGAAAGCTTTTCTATTATCAAGAATGATAGATTAATTATTGCACATTTTGCTCATAAAGCATTGAGTTCTGCCAAGCTTCTCTTGAGCGTCAATTCCAAGACATTCAATCACTGCCTGCAATCCACTCTAGTGTCATGTCCATTATAATTTTATATTTTGAAAGTACGGAATGACTTATTTTACTGCAATTATGGAGCCATATTTTTCATTTATGTAGAATAAACTTTCAAAAATACTATGCACCATCAAGTGGGTGGTAGACCTCATCCATTTCTGAAATATTGTTATAAAAACTGGAGCCGTAATCTAAATTTGTTTTTTAAGCTTCTTGCTATTACTAGACTTGTTGTTCTAGGGATTTATATTCATGGTCAAGGATACCTGCTCAAGTCCCATTCAGGTGGTTGCGCCCCTACTTATTGAATTTCCTATTGGTGTCATTCCTCTTTTGACTCGTGGAAGGAGGTTGTATGCGATCATTCCAAATGAACCAAGGCTTATGCTTGCTAAGGCTGTTTTTGCCGTTTGTGCAGTTGAGGCTCCGCAAGAAAGTCTTGTTATTTGGCAAAAAGATTCAAGTTGTAGCCTTCATCTTTTAGCGAACTTGGTTCTGACCAATATTACAACTTTAATATCCTTCTGCCTATTTTACTATAAGTCATGTCATTATTGCTTCTTCATCTTGATGAAATCCATAAATGAGAATTGCGAACTCAACATCCTAAACAGCCATCTAAATAGCGGCGTGAAATCGGGTTTGATTTAGGTCTAACTCGAAATGCACCCACCAACCTGAAACTGCTTGAACCAAACTCGTCAACGTGAGTTTTACAATCTATCCTGAATCTGACTCATTCAACACAATTGACCCAAAATCTAACCTGAATAAGATTTTTAATATAAAGCATAGCAAGTATTGAGTCAAATTTTAGTCGATTTCAGGTCTGTTTTTGATTGTCATGTCAATTACGTGTTGCACTGGTCATTTTTGGGTCAATTTTGGTTGGCGAGTCAACCTGAACTCAATTTTAAAACTTAACTAGTTAGGATTTGAGACCAAAACCCGAACAAAAAAATAATCCGGTCAACCTAAACCTAGATTTTTTTAGTCTATTTCGGGTCGGGTGAGGTGCCGAGTCAATTTTTGAGACCCTTTCGTTTAAACCTTTAACTCCAAAGTTAGTGGTCATATTTTCTGTTGAAAAAAAAAATATTAACTAGAATGTTGAAGGGGTTTTTCTTGGCTTAAACCAATATACCAGGCCCTAAGGCCTTATATGTGTGTGTGTGTGTTTGCATGTGTTCGTCCTTTTTTGCACGCTCTACCTGCTCGCATGCCTGTCATGTGTGTGACCCAATATTATCAAGCTCAAATGAGACCTTGTCTCGCTTATTTTGCAATGCTATTTTTAGGGTGGAATGCCAGGTGCCGCACGTTTGAGGGATTGCAAAATTCTTCGAAATATCATAACCAAACAAGCTGAGGAAAAAAAGTTATATGGTGCTATATGTGCTGCTCCAGCTGTTACGCTTTTGTCATGGGGTTTAATGAAGAGAAAGAAGGTAATTCGTTGTCTTCTTTTGGTACCATATTCAACCCAGATTTGTACTTATTCTCTATTTCTCTTTAAAGGAGACATCAAATAAGTTAAGCCTGCATTACTAGATGACTTGCCATCCAGCATTTATGAGCAAGCTTCCCACCTTTTGGGCAGTCCAATCAAATCTCCAGGTTTCAGGAGAGCTCACCACAAGTCGTGGTCCGGGGACGACTTTTGAGTTTGCACTGTCATTTGTGCAGCAACTTTTTGGTGATAAATCTGCTGCTGATGTTGGAGAATTGTTGGTACGTCTTGGTTATGACATTGCACTTAGTATTTCTCTACATACTTTCCACACATAAATGCATATGGAAGATTTACATACATACCGAGCTCAATTCCTATCTATTTATGTATCTAACACCTAAACTTCAATTTTAACATACAAGGCCACCTTATCTATGCATGGAAAGATGTATTTCACTTTTTAGAAGTTTAAATGGTGGTTATTTTGATATGATATGAAAGATTTGAGTGTTATGCATGTAAAAAATAAAGTTTAGGTACCAGCTGTTTTTTATTGAAAAGTTTTTATGAACTATGGAAAGAATTAGTTCCTGTAAACCGGTTCTTCTCCTTAGCTTTTCAGTAAGGAATGAAGTGATGGAATGGGGTATAGAGAAGGCAACAGCTCCTTCAATAGCTGCAATGAGTTCATTTTTGAGAGATTTGAAAATAGGATATCTAACTCTGAAGGAAGAGAGGAACCTGAGTGGGCGAAGGATGCTTTTTCCAAGCCTTGCCACACCTCTTTTATTTATTACTCATATAGCCAGTTGCCATTTTAGCCACCACGTTTGAAGGGAGTTTTGAAGGAGAGTTTCTGATTCACAATTGGATAACGAATGAAAAAGATGAGTTTGTTTTGATAAATGTTTTCAAAGGTAGAGACTTAAGGTGGGGGCACTTTACCTTTTACTATATAAGCCACATGAAATTTATATTTTTAATATTTCATAAATAGGGAATGTAATGAAGCAAATCATATTTAAGAAAAAACTGAAATTAATTTAAAAAAATTCAAACTCCTTAATCATATGATTCAATTGAGAGAAGTGTCAAAATAGTCTCTTAACACTTTATAGGGGGCCATTTTAGTCCCGGAGCTTATAAAGTGTCTATTTAGTTCCCACAATCTTTAAATATAAGCTGAAGTAGCTCCACATACGGCTATTTCAGACCCAATTTAATGAGTATGAAGACTAATTTGATACATTTATAGACTCCGGGACTAAAATGACCTAATGGAAATAGCCAGGGGACTACTTTGGCATTTTACTTGTTAATTGTTTTAAAGTGATTTCTCATGATAGAAATTCATGGGCATGTAGATTCTTTGGTGCGCCGTTTCTTCAATGATGAGTGATGTTGGCGAGTCACTATCTAGCAAAGATGAATGATCTTGGTTGGGCTTAGGGCTTCGACATCATTCATGATGCAAGGAAGATGAAGGCAAGTCAGGCTGAGGGCCTTTGCGAAGACAAGCAGTAAGTTGGTGGGGAGATGAAAATGATGTGAGAGTCGTTGGCGAGATGTGCGGAGAGCTAGAAGAAGATGCATGCAATGCAATGCTAGGGAGATGAATGTAAATTGGATTTAGGTTTTCATTTTTTTGTGTATTTGTTGGAGAGGAATCAATTTGATTGATTTAATTCATACTATACTAAAATAAAGATAATCATTTTCTTCATTCGTTTATTAAAAACTAAGTTACCCATTAGGAAAATACATATGAAGATTGAAATTTCAAAGTTTGCCAATTTAAAGTAAGCTACTTTCAAGCATAATTGACCGAGTTTTATTAAGATCCAATTTTTAGTCATTTACTAATTTAAAGTAAGGGAAGTTAGGCTTTCTTTCTTATTTTTTATTTATGTTTTTTTTTAGGATTTTATTGTGCTTAGTCCTTTTTTCTTTTAGCGTATTTTTCATATATTCTATTCTCATCTATGCAAATTAAATTTTGTTATGTAGGTGAATGTGCTACTTGCACTTTTTTATTTTGATTTTTTTTCATGCTAATAGGGTAGTAGAAATTCAGTGTTTTGAATACTTTTCATAGCTTGTAATCTTCTCTTGGATTTTATCTCTCTAAAGTTATTAATTAGCATTGGCTTTTTCCTATTTTTTCATTAAAAAATTTTGCTATATAATTCTGTTCTCCTTTTTGTTAGATGCTTGAACTGGGTGGAGGCCTTCTCTTAAAGAAAGAATTCAATAAGGTTGATTGGTCATTTGGTCAAACTCCTCGTGTAAGTTGTTTTTAACTTCAATAGAGTAGTTAAATTCATGTATTTATATTAATATTGCAAGCTAACCATTATGGGTTGTTTGTTGACCCTCCTGCCTAATACATTAAAGCAACTTGATATTTGTTGTGAAAATGAGGTTTCTTTTGGATAATGGCTGTGCCTTCTCAAATTTAAACATACTATTGACCTTCTTGTAAGTGAAATTGTGTGAGCGTTATGTTAGGAAGCGGAAAAGAATAGGTGGAGGACTTGAGAGAGGCTACAACTGTGAAGAAATCTCAAGTAGTTTTGGAATGAGAAGGATTTGGGGATTAAGAGTCTGCTTCGGCGAGGAGTTCAGTAACAAGTCTGTGTTAGGAATAAACAAAAATGTGAGGAGCGTGGGGGAAATAGGATCGAGAGAGAAAAACATGAGGGAAAGGTGGGTATAAGAGCTTCTACAGCGGGGTCTTTACCTATACGAGCTCATTGAATCACTTGATTGCTTGGTTTTTGATGGTGCACAAGGAAAAAAAAAACGATCGACCTATACCTGTGTTTGTTTTCTCAATATAATTGATTTTTATAGCTTTTGAAATAAGAATATCAATCAATACTATTACTACTAGATACTAAGTACTAACAAAAAAAATATCAAATCTAAGATCATTAGTTATAAATTGAACATGGAATATTAAAAACATATGCTTTTAGCATCATATTCAACATAAAGTCAAATGGAGATTCCAAGATCATATTTATAACAAAACGTAATAACTTGTATTTTCATTCACTTTTTATAGAAGTTATGTTGGGTCTGGCCTACTTGGTAGATCCCTGCAGTTTAAAAGATGTAATTTCCTTGTATTGTGAAAGAGCAATTTTTTGCAATTCTTTTTCGCTGATGTCTGGTCAAAATGAAACTTACTTCTTCTCAATATTGAATGCAATTACACTCTTTAAGTTTACTATATGCACATTTTGTTGTCATCGCTGCTAATGAAATACACTTAAAGTTTTTGTTGATTGTTTTATGAATATTAAGAAAAGGCTCTTTAGTCCAAACCAGCGGATTCTTGTTACAAATATATTTGCATTTAAAAACCAGTGGATTCAGATTACAATTATGTTTGCATTGCAAATGCGTGAATTTTGTTATATAGACCTTTTTTAAGGAAAATTTACATGCATACCACACAATTCTTATATATTTACTAACCTAACATCCAAAATTTGATATTTACACTTTTAACATCTCAGTGTCATAAAACTTTGCATTGAAGGGTGTCTTTCACTTTAAAAAGGGGTGGCGATGGTGGCATTTTTGATATGGTGTTAAAAATTTGAGTGGTATGTTTGTAAATATATATGTAAATACATACGACTTGTGCGTAATTGTCGGCGTTTAAAAGGGGGGGGTTAAGGTTG